TCTTAAGAGTAGAAACAGAAAACCAAAAAGATTTTAAAACCTCTGTGGTATCTTTAGGACAAGAGCTAAAACTATCATAGGGGTTTTATCTCCAATATCAGAAATCAAAGCATAAAGGTCTCCCAAGAGTATAATCTTTGCACATGGCCAAGATTGAAAGCTGGCTATTTCAGAAATTGCTTGTGGTAAAGCAATGCAGAAAAGTTTCTAAATGTCTTGAGAGGTTAACAGATGAGTCACCAAGAAAAATGGAGGAGGAACCTTAATATTAGCCCAGAAATCAGCCAAGGAGGAGAACTGGGAAATTCAGCAAAGCCCAAATCACATGTAGATCAGACGGGAAATTGCCTGCCTTAGGGATCTGTAGCCCTAGTAAGTTTCTACCTGTGGGCATTTTCCTTCGCTGCCATGATGCCCAGGTACCAGTAGTTGGAACAGTAGCAACCCACTTCCCAGAGAAGACACCTCTTTAGCCACTCTCTTAGATTTCTCAGCAGTTACAAAAGATTCCAGTTCTCATCATATTTAAGCTGAGATTTGACAACGATATTTTCTACTGTGTTGAAAGATTTATTTCACAAGAAGGCAATTTAAATGACATATAAAACCTGATGAGCATGTATCAAGTATATGGATGGATGGATGAATGAATAAATGGTTGGATGAAGAGTGGGTAGGTGGATGGACAGAAGGAGAGATGGGTGAATGGATGGGTGGGTGGGTGGAAAGGTGGTAAGGAGGGAGGGAGGAAGGGAAAAAAGAGGAAGGAAAGAAATAGAAAATACTCTTACTGGTGACCTGAGGAGTGCTACTTACACATGTGGTGGCAGTTCAAAGAAATTGACCCCTTGATAAAGTTCCATCTGGCTCATGGTGTAGATTCCAAGCTCCTGGTACGGATTCACAGACACAAGGAGGGTGCCAATATATGTCTAGAGGAATGAACCAAAGCACTAGTGAGGAATTCCGGGGTGCAAATGGCTACAGCAAAAGACCACCACATGCTATGATCCCCATGCAATCATTCAATACTAGGGATTTAACATGATAAATAAGATAGATGGGGTCTCTGCTGTCATGGAGCTTACATGGGGGACAGGGGTAGGCAGACAACCAAGGGATCAGGATCACTTTAATTAGTGTTCAGAAAGGTATAAATAAGGTAACGTGCAAATGACTAAGGAAGGTCACCTTAGCTAGTGGGCTTAGGAAAGTTTTCTTTCAGGAGGTGATATCTGAGCTGAGTCTTGAAGGAGGAGGAGCCAGTCATTAAAAAACAAGAAGGGCGTTCTGAGGGGACAAGTGTGGCAGGCTGGCTGCAATGGAGGCCAGTGAGAGAGGGGAGAACAGAAAATGGTAAGAGATGATGTTGGAGAGGGAAGCGAGTTCAGATCACACAGGGCAGGAGGAATTGGGGGTTTACTCCAAATGTAGTAAATGGTGGACACGCCACTCTCCCTACTGAAATAAAATACCTACCCTGAACTGTAATGTAAAATGGATGGCTTTAAGAGGGAAACGCTATGCTCTGATTTATGGTTCACGAAGCTCTCTCTGGCCATCAGGAGGAAGCAGGGTGAGTATATATAGCAGCCACCTAATATTGGCAAACACTCCCACTACAGCATTTATTTCCCTAGATTTCAACATTGAGTTCTATTAATATTCAAGTTTTTGAAGTACTTATATTTGTAACACAACCACTAAGGTACTTCTGGGCAGACAATTATAAATAAACAAAGCTCTAAGCTCTTATTTAGAAAAAATAAATACATGGGCTCCTTTGAAAATCCATCTGGAACTTCCAGATTCTGTTTGTTGTTGCTTTTCATTTCAACGTCTCAAATACTAGAAGTACTCAAGCCTACATTAAATTATGCCAGCTATTGTTTCCAATCTCTAGGAAGAATCAAATAGAGAACCAAAACAGGGAAGAGTATTTTGACTAAAATTCTGTATTGCTTCAATCAGTAGAAAGCTTCCAGGATAGAATGTAGTTTCTGAAATTTATCTCTTCGAATCAAAAACACTTCGTTTAAGAATGGTGATCCTCTCATTCCACTGACAAGTCTCCACACCACGCTATTTCTCCTTTGCTTATATATAAAATCAATTTACATAAAAATCTAGTTCCATGATTAAAAATATGCACTCTAAAAAGCACCTTGCTTACTTCTGGTAATTTTAGTTTCAACATGTAGATTAAGTCACAGGTACTACTCCAAACAAAATAGCTACAAGACAATTTTTTTTTAAATTTTAAAATATTTTTAAACAGCTTCTGGTCATCTAATTTACTCTTAGCAAAACCTAGTAAAATCTCAATGAAATTAAATACTTAACTACACCTCACCACACACACACGCGTGCGCACACACACGCACGCACACACATGTGCACATACACAGATAATGCAGAGTTTACCCTAGAATTTACCTGAAAACTGACCAATCGAATCAATGTGGGTAATAAATGGAGATCTTAGTAACAACTGGCCACCACTAGAAGCAGCAAGACCAACTTGAGTTCTTCACTCTTGAAGATTCAGGAGATGCGGTGAACACCTCCTATTTTTGCCTGCCTGGCATCCAGTTCTCTTTCTTTCAAAAGATTCCTTTGAGAAAACTTTTCCAGCTCTCACTCCATATCATATGGTCAGAGGAGTCTCACCCCTTGTCTCCAGGGGTGGGCTTGGATAAAGAGCCTGTCCAATCAGAATATTCCTCATTCCTAGCTACAGGGATTGGTTTAGAGATAGACATATGACCTAAGATGGGCCAATCAGAGCCAATCAATGCGTTCTCTGAGAAGACTCCCTTCCTCCCCATCGCAACACTAAGCTGGTGGTCTCACATCAGCCTGGTTCTACTGGCAGCCATCCTGCTACCTTTCAGAGAGCCTGCCCCAGAAGGAAACTAATGCAAAATAAAGCAGAGATGGAAAAGATCCCTCAAGATGAAGTACAAATTCTCAAGACATCACCTGAGAGCCTAGATCTATTCATAGATCCTACAGTTACATAGGTCAATAGATTCCCTTTGGGGCTTGGGCCGGTTTAAGTGGGTTTCTGTCACTGGCAGCCATAAAGGCCTTAACCAGAAGGATCAAAACGCATCTGATAGTGGTCCCGCTACACTTCCCTTTACCGGCTAACCTAATAGGTGATATTGCTCACAGTCATCAAAGTTGTAGAAGCAGGGAGGGAACCATCACTCCAAGAAAACAGCTGAAAAATGGGTTACGTTACATAGATGAGGTTCTCGCTGAAACGCTTGCGAAGATTGTCCAGAAAAGCGGATTCGCTAGTGTACGCGTCCAACAGCACAAAATCCTGCACCCCGACCTTGTCCCTGGCGGTCAGCGTACCTTCCATGTGCAGGCGAATGTGCTTCCTCCTCGCTTCTTCTCTCTACAGGAGACAGAATTTGCCTCATCAGCTCATTCGTTAAATTCTATTGCACATCTAATGCGGAAATAGCAAGATGCTAAGCCCTGGGGATGGTAAAGAGCTGAGATTAAATGATGCTGACTTCATTAAGAGTTTGCATCTCTTATGGTTAGAGATACAAGAGGATGGCGTTAAAAGCAATAACAACGGTAACAGCAGCAGCTGTCAGGAACCGAACATTTCCTGTGTTAGGCACTACAAATACTTGACATGTATCATCTTTAATCCTCAATCTGACCCTCTGAAGTAAGTACTATTATCGTGCCCATACTACAGATGAGGAAACTGAGGACAGAGAGGTTATAAATATGCCCAAGACCTGCTAAAAGCCAGAGCCAGGATATGGACCTAGATAGCCTGGCCTCAGAGCCTGCTTTCTTGACCATCGAATGCACTCAGTAAATGTTGGTGCCTACACTCGCCAGGTGATTCTTAGAAAAGTAATGAGGAGTTTGGTCAGAAAGGGAATTTTTTTGTTACAGAAGAGTCTTCAAGGAAGGACAAACTTGGACTGCCCTCTCCCCAAGGCAGGACTTCAGACCTCCTGGGGGAAGGTGTGGTTGCAGCCTACTAGATGGTGGAGAATCTCGCTGGGTTACCAGGGCTAGAGCTGTTCCATGGTCATGAGGCCACAGTACAACCCTCCTGGGTACAGGAGAACAAAGAGAGTCAGATCACTGCTGGGTGGGAGACCTGGTGACTGTGGGCAACAGTTCTCCAGGGCTCAGGCAAGCTGAGGCTGGAGTTTGTGCAGAGGGAGTGGGAGTGCAGCTGTAGTAGGAAGCCTGGAATGTGTGAATCTGTGTTGGGAGGACTGTGCCAAGGTAGTCACCAGTATCCAGCCAGGACTGTGAGGTCACCAAGGGACTCTGTGCTCTGGACACATACTTAGTACATGTTCCCCCTCCGCCCCCCA